AGTAGTAATTAAATGAGAAATTTGTCATTAACATAAGTAATAAGCAAATTTTAGTGCAAAAGTGCTGGGAAAGTGGTACTTGAAGATGTTGCTCTGAAAACCGTTTGTAGAAATAAGCCTGCCATGGGTCAGATAGAAAGTGTAACCCTAATGTGTTAATATACCAACTACTCAAATGAATAATTTATAAATTATTCAAATGTTTAAATGAACAAACAATTTAAGTGCCATAACTTTTTATAAGCTTACTAGTGGTAAGCACAACTGTTAAATGAACCACAATTTAATGAAGATAATACATTAGGAAATAAATATTTCTCCTTATTAATGGTGACATTTACCCCAGGGCCCATACAAGATTTTCTGTGCTGCTTAATCCATGTATGATCCTTGCACTGGGGAAAAAGGAGAGGTACTGAGCTCTCATGTAGGGGGCTGTCATAAATATAAAGGGAAGGGTAATCACCTTTGAAATCCCTCCTGGCCAGAGGAAAAATCCTTTCACCTGTAAAGGGTTAAGAAGCTAAAGGTAACCTCGCTGGCACCTGACCAAAATGACCAATGAGGAGACAAGATACTTTCAAAAGCTGGGAGGAGGGAGAAAAACAAAGGGTCTGTGACTGTCTGTGTGATGCTTTTGCCAGGGACAGAACAGGAATGGAGTCTTAGAACTTAATAAGGAATCTAGCTAGAGATGCGTTAGATTATGATTTCTTTAAATGGCTGAGAAAATAGCTGTGCTGAATAGAATGAATATTCCTGTCTGGGAGTCTTTTTTGTAACTTAAGGTTTTGCCTAGAGGGATTCTCTATGTTTTGAATCTAATTACCCTGTTAGGTATTTACCATCCTGATTTTACAGAGGTGATTCTTTTTTACTTCTATTAAAAGTCTTCTTGTAAGAAAACTGAATGCTTTTTCATTGTTCTAAGATCCAAGGGTTTGGGTCTGTGGTCACCGATGCAAATTGGTGAGGATTTTTTACCAAACCTTCCCCAGGAAGTGGGGTGTAAAGGTTGGGAGGATTTTGGGGGGAAAGACGTTCCAAACAACGTTTTCTCAGGAACCCAGATAAAGTTTGGTGGTGACAGTGGAAGTCCAAGGGCAAAGGGTAAAATAGTTTGTACCTTGGGGAAGTTTTAACCTAAGCTGGTAAAAATAAGCTTAGGAGGTTTTCATGCAGGTCCCCACATCTGTACCCTAGAGTTCAGAGTGGGGAAGGAACCTTGACAGGGGCACAGAGAAGTTGCGATTGTATTTCAGTTCCATGACAGTCATCTCTCATATGCACATACACTCACAAGCATAGATGTGAATTTCATTCTTCTGGTCTCTGTTTAGTTCCCTGCACAATGCCAGTGTAGTCAGACTTGATGCAGAAAGCTTGAATGTCAACCCAAGGGCTAAATTTTGCCCTCAGATATATAGCAGGAATGCACATTTTTGCCAGCTTAATCCAGGAACAAATTTTGACCCTCTAGTGTTCTGTTGACTCACTGATTCAAATGATTTAACATTTTACCTAATCAAAATTGATGAGTTCATTGTCAGGTCCTGACAAGGTACAAGAAACTACCTTTTTTCCCCCCCCGACTACTGAAGTACTCATCTCATCCAATGTTATGCCCAACAGACATGAGTGTAAGCCAGTTCTGTCCTGGCAAGCCATTAACACTTCAGGCACATTCTAATCCTTCTTTTTTTTAATAAGTTATGACTTTTTTTTGAAAATATGTATATGCAGTCTGAATGACCAGTGGAAAATGCCAAGGCCCTGGGATTTCAATTTCTGGAACAATGGCGTAAACAATTTGTTTTCAATCAAATATTTGTGAATACTGCACTTCGTAAAGCTATTACTATATGTTCAAAGTATAAAATATAAGAAGGGCCATTAAGCAGGCAGCGTTCTCATCCTGCTCTGAAAAGAGTAAACACACTCAAAATACTGATAAACAGGGGTTTGGTGTTTTAATTCTGTTAAAAAAAAGTTAAGAGTACTAGATTATTCAATGGTAAAGTGCATTACAAGATCTCTTTCCCATTTATTTTATGATGTCACAGAAATTTCGAGACTCTGTAAAATGTAGTACTGCTGATTTGTTTCGTACCAAGGTAGAGGGAGTCAAAGGGTTTAGTACAAAGGTGGGCAAACTACGGCTCAGGGGCTGCATCCAGCTCTTCAGACATTTTAATCTGGCCCTTGAGCTCCCGTTGTGGGGCAGGCTCCAGGGCTTTCCCTGCTCCGGTGCTCCAGTTAGGGAGTGGGGTCAGGGGCTTGCCCCGCTCCACACAGCTCCTGGAAGCAGTAGTATGTCCCACCTCCAGTTCCTACACATAGGGGCAGCCAGGTGGCTCCACATGCTGCTCCATCCCAAGCACTGCCTCCGCAGCCCCCATTGGCTGGGAACTGTGACCAATGGGAGCTGCAGAGGTGGCACCTGCAGACGGGGCAGCATGAAGAGCTACCTGGCCGTGCCTCCACATAGGAGCAGGAGGGAGGACATGCTGCTGCTTCTGGGAGCTGCTTGAGGTAAGTGCCACCTGGAGCCTGCACCCCTGGCCAGCTCCTGGGCCCCAACCCTGATCCCCCTCCCACGCTCCTGCACCCCCAACCCCTCATCCCCACCCAGAGCCTGCATCCCAACCTCCTCCCACACCCTGAACTCCTCATTTCTGGCCCTATCCCAGAGCCCACACCTCCAGTCGGAGTCCTCACCCCTCCCACACCCCAACCCCCAATTTCGTGAGCATTCATGGCCCACCATACAGTTTCCATACCCAGATGTGGCCCTTGGGTCAAAAAGTTTGCCCACCCCTGGTTTAGTAGCTGGCAGGAAATGAGAGAAGGATTAGACAGATGTAAAAGGAAGTTGGGGCTTTTCTCACAGAGGGTTTGGCTGATGGTGGTAGTGAGTCAAGGAGCTTTGGTCACAGAGGTAAAGGTAGAAAGAACATCTCTCTCATTTACTCCCCTCACACAAGTTTCATTTAGGCCTCAATCCTTCAACACACTGAGCAGCTCCCAGGGAGGTGCTGAACACACCTAAGGACAATATTTAAGCACCAATGGCATTCACAAAACCACTGATCAGCTGCCACCTAAGCCTGGAAGCACTTGAAGCTTCCACTGGTAAAGTCCCATAGGAGCCTAAATTTTTGCTACTGAGACACCTAAATCCTGACAGTGCTGAGTAACTCAGCACTTAACTCATGCCTAAACCACAGCAGGATTCACAAGTTAGGGGTCTCCCCTGCCCTGATTAGCTTGCCTGCAGGGCTGGATCCAGTAGGCATGTTCAGAGCACACTTAACATGAAAGATGGGGAGGTAGGGGAGCCCTCTTTTACCCAGCAGTCCAGAAGGTTAGAGCACTCACTCAGGGGGTGGGATACTGGGGTTCAAATCCCTATGTGCCTGATGTGGAACAGAGATTCAAATCTAGGTCTTCCCCCACCTCGGTGAGTGCCTAGTCACTGAGCTATAGAGTCACTCACCATCTCTCTCTCTGGCCCCAAGAATATTTAATTATTATACAAAGTGGACCAGCTTCAACACCAGGAGAGGTTGCATGAGACCTTCCCCATAATATTGTATAGCCCAGTTATAAGGGCACTCTTCTGGGTTGGAGCGGGGAGAGAGGAGAAGAGAAGAGATTGGTAGCACTGCCACTTACTCCTCCTCTCTACACAAAGAACATAAGCCAGGCCAGTCCCTCACTTCTGGAGAGGGTTCATGGCTGTGAGTCCCAAGTAGAGAGAAGTACCTCCCTCTGACCCAGATTTAGGCCACACTTCTCCTCAGCCTCTCTTTCTAGCTAGTTTAGGCAGCTCCCCACTCAGCATGCTGGCTTCTATTCATCCCTTTTTTAAGGGTCTAACTCTTCCCAGGCACTGTATGGGGCGCTTTGGCACCTAACTTGGTGTTAGGAGCAGGGTACCTAACCCAATACAAGTTAGCCATAACATCAAGCATTGCAATGCCTACATCCCACTTATGAATCTAGCCCTGAAAGTACAAGACCCTTATCACAAATAATCACACTTGGTTACAGAACTGATTTCTTCCTTCTTTCTTGCAAAGGAGGCTTTGCTCAGAGTTTTGCTGTCCCAGACAGATATGACGGTTTTCATGAAGTGGAATCTGCTGATGGAAATAATGAAGATTTGCCTTGGATATAGTGTGCAAAAATTTCAGTTTCTATGTATGAATCTTTGGATAGTGAAAACTAGCAAATGTTACACAGCTCTATAAGGGGTGTTCAGTATTAAAGTCATACAGCAGCACTGTTATTTCACCTATAGACATCCCAGGAAATATTCTATCACACAAGATCCAGCTGTTCCTCTTGGAATGATGAGCTCCTTATTGAAGAAAGACTCCACATTACTGAAGTTACTTCAGTCATTTATATATGCCTTTCCCAACTTCAGTGGGAGTTTTTCCTTGAGTAAAGAAAGCGGAGCTGTCAGTTCCACATCTCAAGCTAGAAAAATGACTAACTAGTTCCTTAATTGCTCTCTCCTTGTGATCCAACAAATCAAGATAATGGTTATTTGTTCTCCTTTCAGCAAAACAACAGCAAAATAATAATAATGAAAGATCTGTGCTCCCCCCAAGCTCTTATTTTTTGTTCACAGTATAAATTAGGATTCACAGAAGCAATTTCTCTCAGCTATTTTTAGTTTGTTAAAGTAAGTTATTTTGGGTTTATCCTTAGGACAACAACATACTTAGTGGCAAGTTGCTCTTTGTTAAACTGACATTGTACTTTGTTGTGCATTAAAAAAGTAAAATGCAAAAATGTAGTTATGCCATGTAACATGCCATGAATGCCATTAACCACCTTGGATTAAGGCAAAATACAGTATGGAAGTTCTTTCTAGATTCCCATTCTTAAATTAATCATTTAGTGCATTTTAAAAGCATAAATAGATTTAACAGCTATTAAAATATGAAGAAAGCATGTAATTTACAAATATATATTGCTTTGAGACTTACTGGCAAGTAATCCAACTCCACTTGCAAGGGATCCAATCCAAGCAGTCTTTCCTTTCCCCTCTCCAAAAGTATCCAGCCATTCTAGATACAAGACTCCAACTGCTAATGGAGACCCATAACAGAAGAACTGAGTAAAGAAGGAAACAAGGACAATCACCCAGCCCCATCCACCATCTGGCGACTTCAGCAATACCATTTTCTAGTGCCGGCTCTGTACAAAGCAGAGAACAAACAACACATACAATAGAAAATATGAACTAGTCCATTTCTCAAATGCGGCCACTGTGGCTTTTTGTAGCCACCAGGGGCTTTTCGTGCAGCCACTACAGCCTCCTGGGCAGTGATGGGGAGGGACAAAACATAGGCTCCTCCCACTCCCTCCTTGTTGCTCCTGGATGCACCACCTCTGGAGAGAGGTGGGACATAACACTGCAGGAGCGAGGGGAGTTCTTGACCCACGTTGGGGGGAGGGGGTTTGGATGGCAGGCTCCAGTAGGAACTTCAGGAACCTGGGACTTCAGGAACCTGAACTTGCAGCCCCGGGGTCCAACTGTGGGGCAGCGGGTGTTGACCCGTGCCCCTTCCCTCCTGTCGGCTCTAGCCATGCAGCCCTGGACTCCAGCTGTGGAGCTTCAGCCTCCAGCCCCTAGGTCCAGCTGCATGGCAGCAGGTGCTGGCTCCCAGGGCTCCAGCCATACAGTAGCAGGTGCTGGCCACAGGGACCGACCCCCGGCCCCAGCCACAGGGCTCCAAGCGTGGGGCTTTGGGTGCTAATTCCTGGGTTTGGCCACAGGGCAGCAGGTGCTGACCCCCAGCTTTGGCCGCAGAGCTTCATTCGGCCTCTGCCCCCCAGTTCTGGCTGTGTGGTGGCAGGCGCTGGCCCCGGGCTCCAGCCATGCAGCCCTAGCCCCTGGTGCTGATCAAGCTTCAAACACTCCTTGGCATTTCTTATAAAACATGCACAAGATGTAATAATACACGAGATGTCAGTGATAAGCCATACATTATATACATACATCACTTTTTTTTTTTTAATTATTCTTCAAACTGGTGGTGCCTTAGTTACCATAAATCCAATTGTACAGGGCTCAGGAGGAGGAAAAAATTAATAAAGATAGAACTGTTCCAAAAACAAACTAGCTTTCTGAAAATAATTTTTAAAAAGTGTCACAGATTTGAATCTAACATTTTGGGGCTAGAAAGGAGTACTCGGCCCTTATGGAAAGTGGGATAATTTCACTTTCCAGTGGCATGGGGTTCACTTTTTAACCCATGCAACACCACGAAGCATCAGACACTAACGATACCTACGTATATAAAACGGGTCATGCAGCCCCAGACTGAATCTTGCCCACCCTAGACCTCAGGAGGTGTAATTGTGTGGGAGGGATATTCCGTATTTGGGGCAAAAGTAATAGTAGAACTGGAAACAACCCTCTGCTCATTCCTGCAGTCGAAATGACATCTACAGCACTGGAACCATCAAAACCACCCCCTTAACTTTATTCCTTTTATGTGCTTTGGGAGTCTCACAACCAGCAGGTGTAAGTTTCCTAAATTGCATATAAATGCTATATGCACCGGAAAAAACTTGATCATGATTGAATATAAGTTTCCTAAGACCTCCCTCAGAGCTGCCACACTATGCAGAGGTCTTAAGATGCACATCACTAATGAGTATTTTGGGAAGGGTACATCTGACTTGTGTCGGCTTCCTGAACTCCAGAACAGCTAGCTATACGTTTAGCAGCCCTGCAAGATTCCTAATGTAGGAAAACTCCTTTTAGTAACTGATTGCCCACAGCTGACCAAAAGCACAATCCATCCTCCCCTAGGCCAACAAGTATAAAATTCGGAGTTTCCAGGCTAAGCTATTTTAGAGTCATGAAGAGTGACTAGATAAATCACTACAGAGGTGACTAGGAGAAGTAATGTGTCCCAGTAGGTAGTGCCTGGGACTGGTATGCAGGAAGCCTAGGTTCTAATCCTTCCATGTGTGACCTTGGGCAAGTCACTTCACCACTCTGTGCCTCAGTTTTCCCATTGTAAAATGGTCATAATGATACTGACCTCCTTTGTAAAGTGCTTTCAGATCTATGTACACATTGTCTAAGTAGAACTAGGTATTAAGTTTAAATCACTGGGAAGAAGGTTGCTGTGATAGTGTTCTAGTCAAGTAAGAAACAAAAACAGCAGCAGAGAAGAAATTTAGAGCATGCCTGCAAATCAAGCAACATGGAGAATGTATACTTTTTCTTCTCCATTAAAATTCAAAGATATTTTACAAAAATAATTTAAAAAAAAAAAGAAAATTTAAATGCTAAGAATTACATACTTCAAGTGAAAATTCAATTAAGAAATACATTATGGAAAGCTCCAAGAGAAAAGTCATTATTTTTACAAATATTCATTACTGAGACATGGAAAATGGTGGGACTAGAGATGCAATTGATTTAAGTAGTACACTACTTACAGAAGATGATCTAGACTCTTTCAACCTTCTAGAATATATAACTCTAGTTCCACTGGGTAATTCTACCTGTGGGGAAAATATTCGATAAAAAAAAAAGTTCTTCCGCACACACAGCCAATAGCTAGCATAGTAAAACAAACATGAAAGTCTGAAGGCTTGATGCTTTTTTTTTTAAAAAACACTAATAGGAACTTCAAAACTTAGAGTGGAGAAACACTGGCCCTCTCTTGATCAATTAGGGGCTGACAGCAACCTTGGACCCAAGAAGAGCAAAAATACAGGCCAACAAACATAAAACAAACTTTGACCCTCTAGGGCTCTTTGGGAATGATTTACAGGGTTATAAGAGGACAGACTGTCTTAAGAATATATTACTATCAGTTATAAATCAACTACTTTGTTTCCTTGTATTAAGTTTCTCTCATAATTTCTTGTTAGTAAGTTTCTCTTGATAAGTTAGCCGCTATCAACTCTATATTATTTGAATGCAAATGCATCATCATATAATCTAAGACAATGCAGTTTTGATCAACAGCATTTAAAAATATACACATTTTCTGTCGTCAGAACCCTTCAAATTATATAAAATGGGACCTTCTCATTTCTGCAAAAGATTACACACACAACTACTGAAGGGTTTGTAGAAATCCTCTTGTATTAAAATACCATCCATGATTTGCATTTTTGTGCTCAACATAAACAGCAAGTGGTGCATATTGCAATATTTTCAAGAAAGGATGCTTTGCAGACACAAAACAGGGAAGTGCTCAGAAAACTAATAAACTAGAAGTGCACTTAAAAATATGGTTAAAATATCTATTCTGCTTTGTTCGCTAACAACCCATACCACAAACAATATTTTTCTACAATGAATATTTTTCTCTACGTTTTAGCTGTGGCGTCAAGCCTTTAATTTCTATTGTGTTGAAGCTCAGAAACTTGGCATACAGGCTCAGCAAAAATTGTTTAAATCAGTTCTTGTTCCAGACATTAAAGAAAAAAAAATGTCTTGGTCATAAGTGTTTTGTCATGCTCTAATTGAAAAAAGGCGAGGGGGGGGGGGAGAAAAGGATTAAAAACCTGGATTAGGTATTCAGCTGGAGTAAATCTGCATAACTCCAGTGACTTTAATGCAACTATGCCAATTTATACCAGCTGACAATTTGGCAGCACTTACTTTGCACAGTGAAGATATCTTTTGCCTTTTTTTTTTTTTTTTTTGGTAATTGAAATTAAAGCTACTTAATATAGGCACATTATTCTCTTTCCTAAACATACCTTTTACATTGCACTTAAACTGAGATCAGTGATAGCGAACATCTTATCATTTACATAATAGTTCCATTCACATATCAGATTTTCTTTACTAAATAAAACAAAGATATTATGTTGATTTACTATTTTTACCAAGCACAATCAAAGCCTCTAGCAAACTTTATTATGCCATCGTCACAAGCTGAAAATCTCCATTGATAAGCCTGATTTTGTACTCATCCTAAAATACTTGAGTCATTTCTACTTAAAATTTTGTGTTGTCTAAGCAACAGATATTTTTGGTATCTGATCTGAGGTAATCTGGATACACTATTTTTGAGATAGGGAACTTATGAAAAAAAAATAGATGTTAGAAGAAACTGCCAAACTTTAAAAAACAGCTTGTTCAAGAAACTTCAAATGTAGTTTATTTGAAAGGTCTTGCTGAGATCAAGAGCACAGGACTAACTTTAAGAGTGTGCAGCCATACTTGAGAAGTTACTCATGGTTGAATTGGAATCAGAATGTTTCGTTGGACTCTAGATGACTTTTAATGAATGCCAAATGACACAAATTTCAGAGTAGCAGCCGTGTTAGTCTGTATTTGCAAAAAGAAAAGGAGTACTTGTGGCACCTTAGACTCTAAGGTGCCACAAGTACTCCTTTTCTTTTTGCAAATGACACAAAGACACCTATTTTTTAAAATTAAGTCTTTGGTCCTTTTCCTTGAAAAAAGGAAACAGCCTTCAAAGTCTAAACATATTAGCGGAAAGTTTGTCAGTGATTACTCTTCCTTGCCCTTCTCACAAGCTGCACTCTTACCCAATACACCCCAGCCACTGACAGCCAGAGCTTTACCTCAATTACCAGTTGCTAGCATCTTCTCCAGTCATCACACTGTATAGATGGGGACAGGCAACAATGGAATTTTCATTCTTAGTTCAGTCTCCTCCGATACCTACTCCTGCCATCAGTGCTACCACGAGAAACCCCCATTACATAAGCCAGCAAAGGTTCCCTTCACTCTTCCTTGAAGAAATAAAGTCCCATTGACAAGAATAGGAGTTGTGGCACCTTAGAGACGAACAAATTTATTTGAGCATAAGCTTTTGTGAGCTACAGTTCACTTCATCGGATGCATTCAGTGGAAAATACAGTGGGGAGATGTATATACACAGAGAACATGAAACAATGGGTGTTACCATACACACTGTAACAAGAGTGATCAGGTAAGGTGAGCTATTACCAGCAGGAGAGCGTGGGGGAAGACGGGGACCTTTTGTAGTGATAATCAAGGTGGGCCATTTCCAGCAGTTGACAAGAACATCTGAGGAATAACAGAACGCCACTAGCCATCACCTTCAGTCCCCAACTAAAATCTCTCCAACGCATCATCAAGGATCTACAACCTATCCTGAAGGACGACCCATCACTCTCACAGATCTTGGGAGACGGGCCAGTACTCGCTTACAGACAACCCCCCAACCTGAAGCAAATACTCACCAGCAACCACACAACAAAAACACTAACCCAGGAACCTATCCTTGCAACAAAGTCAGTTGCCTACTGTGTCCACATATCTATTCAAGGGACACCATCATAGGGCCTAATCACATCAGCCACACTATCAGAGGCTCATTCACCTACACATCTACCAATGTGATATATGCCATCATGTGCCAGCAATGCCCCTCGCCATGTACACTGGTCAAACTGGACAGTCTCTATGTGAAAGAATAAATGGACACAAATCAGACGTCAAGAAGTATAACATTCAAAAACCAGTCAGAGAACACTTCACTCTCTTTAGTCACTCAATTAAAGACCTAAAAGTGGCAATTCTTCAACAAAAAAAACTTCAAAAAACAGACTCCAATGAGAGACTGCTGAATTGGAATTAATTTGCAAACTGGATACAATTAACTTAGGCTTGAATAGAGACTGGGAGTGGATGGGTCATTACACAAAGTAAAACTATTTCACACACACCCCTTCCCCCCCCCCCCCACACACACACACACACAGTTCCTCAGATGTTCTTGTCAACTGCTGGAAATGGCCCACCTTGATTATCACTACAAAAGGTTGTCCCCCTCCCCAGCTCTCCTGTTGGTAATAGCTCACCTTACCTGATCACTCTCCATACAGTGTGTATGGTTAACACCCATTGTTTCATGTTCTCTGTGTATATACACATCTCCCCACTGTATTTTCCACTGAATGCATCCGATGAAGTGAGCTGTAGCTCACAAAAGCTTATGCTCTAATAAATTTGTTTATCTCTAAAGTGCCACAAGTCCTCCTTTTCTATTTCCCTAGTGACTCCTTTAGACCTATAGAGCTCCTAAACTCACCTTGGCTTCTCCCTTATCATCAGCTCAGAGCACCTGAAGTGTTTCCAAGTTCTGCAGGAATCACCAAACACTGGCAGCTCCTGCAGTCATTCTGGCTCCCTAGTCAGCTTCCTTGGAGTTATTCATTCCCTATCTTGATTTCCACAGCAGTTCTAGACTTGTCTTCCTGCTGGGTTTTTTTTAAGTTTGCAGCAGCTGCTGAAGCATTCGTAGAGTTTGCATCAGGCCCATTGTTTCAGCAGACAGAATAAGCAGATCTGCAGAGCATCAATATAAGAGTCAAAGTATGGAGTCTGTTTGAGTAGTGATATGCTGGGGAGCCAAGTCATGAAGCCTGGCTGGGAAGCAAAAAAGACCACACAAAATTAAGCTCCAGAGGATTCCCTGGTTCCCTGGCTGCCTGAATATCAGTCTTCTGCAGATGTTAGGACCTAGTAGGCTATCTTGCTCCTTGTCTCCCAAGGTATAAAAGCATTTTTTTAAATGTGTGTAATATACACACAAAAAATTATAGATTAATTCAATTTTTAAAAATTGAATTAATGTTAGGAATACATCTCAGTAATTTAAGGGCAAAAGCAACCTTACAAGAACACTGCAATCATCAAAAAGCCATTAGAAACTTAAAAATATATATATCAGTGTTAAGGGTAAATTTAAAAGAAATCCAATCACTTAAAGTATGGAAATACAGTAGTTTAAGTACTTTAACTGTGTATCTTAAACTTTACATTTAGCGGAATTAGCGTTAGAATTTCCCATTATGTAAAATATTAACCCCGTAATCATAAATTTTAACAGCCACAGGAGACCCAAAGAAGAAAATGTTTCATAAAAGCTTTATGAAATCTATAGTTTGCTGTTGTGATATCTTACATTTGGAGACAAAACCAAGTTTGCAGAGGTTTAAAGTGTAATATTGAAAATGTGCACCACAGAGGACTGGCTTTGTAATTTGCTTCATCACAACTCGAACTTCATTTAATCCAGTGCTTTTATCTATATAAATATATATGAATGAACTGGGCCTAATAAACGTACTTAGAGTTAACGTACCTAATATATGCACAAGGATGCCTGTATGTGGAACATAGCATCTTAATGAAGAGAAGGGAATAATTGCCTTCAATTTACTATTTGTCTAGCTACGAATTTGTAAAGTATATTTTTTTCTGTTGACAACATATGGCTGCAAAGTAAGCAGAGGTCAGCATAACAAGTGCATGATTAAAACTAAGGATATGTCTTCACTACCTGCCGGATTGGCGGGCAGCGATCGATCCAGTGGGGATTTATCGCATCTAGTCTAGACGCGATAAATCGATCCCCGAGTGCTCTCCCATTGCCTGCTGTACTCCAGCGCCACAAAAGGCGCAGGCAGAGTCGACCAGAGAGCGGCAGCAGTCAACTCACCGCGGTAAAGACACCACGGTAAGCGGATCTAAGTACTTAGCTGATGTTGCATAACTTAGATCGATTCCCCACCATCAGTGTATACCAAGGCTAAGTCATTCCATGTTCACAGGGCATTGGTATGGAGTTAAGAGAATATGAGTACCTTAGTTATATTTTCATACTTTCAAATGGTAGAGGTTTCTCTGAAGTTTTATTATAACTCTGAATTTCTAATTATTCCTTAATTACAACATTTTTGTAGTTTTTACTCTAAAGTTCCTCATATGCACTTTCTATCTTCACTTCAGCTTACAATTTTTATATTTAAACTTCCATAAATTTCACTTTTACCCCCTCCACTCTCTCTTGGCTTTCTCTTTGATAAGTAAGCTCTGAAGTTCAAGTAAATATTTTCTTCCTCTACATTTTTCTGTAAAAGAAAATTATCATCAAATGAATCAACGATTTTTACTCCAATTACCATATAATAATTTTCTTGCACAAACTTCATCAACATGTTCTTAGATGAGCTGACCTCCGATACATCAGTCTACTAAGTATAACCAATTATAACCATTTTCAAATTCTGATCACTCCACAAACAGGTGAAAGTAACTAACAGTCAGAAATAGGCTACTATTAAAAATAATTTTTGAAACCATATGTATTAAGTATGGTCCCTCAACTTCCTTTAATAGTAGATGTCAGTTGCAAAGGTCAAAAGGTGACAGCTGTAGCCTTACATATCAGAATCCATATCTGCTCCTTCTGTTGTCAGTTCTCTCAACAAGTGCACAGGTATCTGTCCGTTTCCTTTTCTATGAATTGATGCAATGTTTTATAACCACCAATTCTCATGATCTTCTTCCTTGCTGGTACAGAGAACAAAAATTATATGACCTACCCCAAATCCAGTTTTGGATAACTGTTTGCACAAAGAGACACACACCTAGAGATCATTAATAAGCAAGTCTCCCCTCAGATTGCTTAGTTCCCAGATTCTTCTTGTCTACGTGTTAGGGATGTTACATCCCTAGTGTGACATCTTGGAAGAAAATTGTTGTTGTTCAGTTCAGTCTGTCCCATTCAACGATAAACAGAAACTAGACACAAGACGCTCTTGGTTCCCCCACACAGAGTGTTGAGAGATATTGAAATGAACTGGATTTTTTGCTGCACAAGCTTTGTAAAACATAATGCTTCCAGTTTTCAGCTATCGTTCATTAACCAAGCAGAAGCAATTATGAAATTGCCAAACACATTACTCCAAATCTAACACCAGTACAAATTCTTTATCACACTGATTTACAGCAGTAATACGTCAGTGAACAGTAAAAATACCATGCTATTATTACTGTACCAATGTGCTACCTAGAAATAAGAAAATATATAAAATAATAGTCCACACTTTTGTAGCTTCTTGCATCAGAAGACTTAACAATGCTTCAGAAACTTTAATGAAGCCTAATAACACCCCATGCAAGGGAAGAATTAAACTTACTTTTATAACAAATTATGGAAAATCTCAATTGCAGTAGGGCCTGGAGCCGGCTGGCCTCTGTGCACTAAATGCAAGACATTATAAAAACATATCAGAAACGTCAGTCCTATAAGTGGGGTAAACTGAGGCACTATGCTAGAAAACGCTTTATCCAAAGTCCAACAGCAAGCTGGGGGCAGAACCAGCAACTGAATCGAGGAGTCCTGAATCCAAGTTCCTTCTTCTAACCATTAGTGACTAGCGCTTTCCCTATTTAGGGCACACTTTTACTGCACAAAAGCCCCTCAGATTAGGCTAGTAAAAGCCAATAGAAGAGAAGTTTACACCCAGTCAACTGTGCAAAGACAGACTCCTTATGACTGCATTTAACAAATCCAAAACACTACCTCAAAAAAGCGCTGTAACGGCCTCATTTCAACCCCCCCAAACTCGGGGGCACCCGGAGTTTCGCCTCTCTCTCTCGTCGGTCACACAGCAGCACTGCTGCTAGTGCACGCCCGGCTCGGACACCCACACGCTCCCCGAGAGGAGCCGAGCACGGGGCGGCCGCCTTCAGCCACCCCTTGCCCCGTGCAATACAACGCGGGGTCAGGCAGCAGGGCTCGCCTGGGAAGCGCCCCGCACGCCCGGGCGGACAGGGCATCTCTGCGGCCGGCCTGGGGGGGATGGAGGGAGGGCCGGGGGTGCTGCAGCTGGTCCCGGCTGGCTCCGAGGCAGGGGCGGGCGCGCGCTCGGACGGGGGGTGCGGCCCCGAGCCGGGGCGCGCGGCAGGGGCTCGCGGAGCGGGCCCGCTACCCCCTGCCCCGGGAGCTGCCCGGTAGCGCCGCGAGGCTCCCGCCGCACGCCCCTCAGCGAGGCTCTGCAAGCCCCGGGCACTAGGACAGCGGCGATGCCGCCATCGCCGCTCCCCCGCCCCCGGGCACCGGCCCCGCCCGCGTTACCTGCGGTCCCCCCGGGTGCAGCCGGCAGCGCACCGGGGACGCGGCACAGCCCGGCACTGGCTGCTGACAGCGGGGCAGCCGCCGCCTATTTATGGTTTTGGGCGAGCGGCTGCCCCTGCGCGTTCCGGGCAGGGGCCGCTGCTCCGCGCGGGGCCGGACAGCCGGGCTGGTCCGAACCGGTTGGAACTAAGGAAGAAGGCGGAGGCGGGCGGTAGGGGCGCTGCAGCAGCCGCCGCCGCCCGCCCCGGGGCGCGGAGAGCGGCCGGCGAGAGAGCCCTGTGCCGGGCTGAGCGCTCCGGCGGGGTGCGCCCTCCCTGGGCGCGCCTCAGCTGCTCCCTGCCTGCCCGCCGTGTCCCTCTGCCCCGCAGCGCTAAGCGCTGCCACCCCCCAGGAGACGCCACAGGGTGGCTCGAGCCCGCTCACCGGGTTTTGCCTCCCCAGCCCCCGCGCCTCACAGGTGGGCAAGGGCCTCCCCTGAACTCAGCCAGCAGCGAAGCTTGAGGCATCGTGAAAGTCTTGAATTGTTTCAACGCAACAGCCACCACGCAACCCCCGCTTCTCTGGGGAGGGGGGTAGAGGCTTCTGGGAGGGTGACCAGACCTCCCCCTATTATCAGGAAAATAGGTAGCATATTATCAGGACACCCCCGTCCCCGTCGCCTCTTAGCGAGGTTCTTTAAACGTCATCGGTGCAGCTTTGTTGCACAGTCAGGCCATGTCTACACTAGGGAATTTTCTCAACATTCCCCAGAGCTCCTGTTCAGCTCCACTAAAGTTAGCATGGTTGGGTGCCTAAATGCAGATTGGCAGCTAGTAGCCTCCTCCTTTTTATCACCACGTCACTTCGAGCAAGATTACATGCTTAAAGTGCAAGTGCCAAGCAATGGTCCATCCGCTGGTAGAGTTAAACCTATGTTAGCAAAGATATAAGTACAATTTTTAGAAATCTTCCCTAATACTTTGGTTATAGCAGTGGCGGGTTGTGACTACTGCTTATCATGGTGACAAGAACAGTTTCATTATGTCTCATGCTGGCTCATCCATTTGTTCTGGCCACTTGTCTCTAGTCTTAGACTATAAACTGTTAAGGGCAAGGGCCATCTCTTTGTGATTATGTTTGCACAGGGGTAGCAGAATGGGGGGGGGGGGGGAGAAGAGGAGGTGCAATAGAAGTTTGCACCCCCCTCAATGGAAATAGCGTGCATGCCTAGTTCTTTAGTCAGTTGTTTCACACACTCAGGCTAGGCAAAGCTTTGTGGCTGCTGGGGGTGGAGGAGAGAGCAGGATGCAGAAGATGTGGAGTGGCTTCCACAGTGTCTGGGTTTGGGCAAAGGAGAGGTAAGAACTGGGGTGATTGGACAAGGGCCAGGAGTAGCTATCCCTGCAGAGAGATACACAATCTGTCAGGACTCTCATTCACAGCCTGGAGCTTGCTGCTACTCCTCCCCAGCATCTCCCCTTGCAGATCACTCACCCTGACATTTTGAATTCCTTATGCAGGCACTGACTTGCTCTGCTCCCCATACTTTGTATGTTTAGGTTTTAGCATGCAGTTCCATGCTCCTAGGCAAAGTGAACATCCATGCCTCTGTTTATACAGTTTCTATAGTTCCTAGCATAATTGGGCTAGAGCCTCCAGGCACTACTGTAAAAAAAATAATAATTTACTCAGAGAGGGAAATTTCATTAATTCCTAAACCCTCAGAGCAGGGTAGTTAAGTATTCCAATCAAGGCATGCTCCTCATGTTAATACTTTTAAGGGTTAGTGAACTTTTAAAGGCCTTTTTAGTTTAGATCAAGTTAAAGTGCTTCACAGTGTCTCCAGCATTCAAATCTGCTGGAGATTGAGCAGTGTGACAGGGTGCAACTCACCACACTAGTGCTTCCTGTTGGTCATCTTACAGATCAGCTCCACAGGTTAGTATGCTAATGCTCAGTGATCTCTCACCCGCTGTCACTTCTGCTCCTGGACCCGCAGCACTCCAAGGACTGTGGCATCCTCTTCAGAGCACAGCCCTCAGGCTGTGCCACACCCTGTGCTCCTGCTTTCTGGGGAACATTACTGCAGTCCAGCCACTTCCTCAGTGGTAAGTTGTCCCAGGCCCACCCACTACTCCAGTTCCCAGGCCAGGGATCCTCTAGATAGCAGCCTCTGTAGATGCTGCATCCCCTCCAACCTCTCAGGCTACTTCCCTGGTCTATTTCCGCACAGCCTCAGTACCTTATCCATCCTTATCTCCAAACCTGAGCATGCAAGTCTTAGCAGTAAGCCATGGGCTTGCTTTCATGCCCCTGATCCTGCCCAGCATGGCTCTGTCCAAGGTGCTAGTATTCTTCCTCCTGCAAGGCAGGTAACCAGTCCTCTCTCCTCAAGCTCCAGGGAGCAACTGAAGCTACTCTACCCTGCAGCCCTTCTCATCTGGGCCTGCGTGGCTCTGATTGGCTGCTCCTCACAACCTCTCTCTAATTGGTTGCCTCCTGCACAGCCCCTTTAGGGCTCTATTAACCCCTTATGGGCCAATATGGGGCAGACACCTCATCACAAGCAGGAACTGTTAAGGTCCAGTGCCAGAGACTGTCTCATTTCTTTGGTCAATTTATGGCTTGGAGAACAAGAAACCTAACAAACTTCTAGTGTGCATACATGAAAAAAAATTGAATGGTAATAATTTCAAAACTACTGATGTGTTTTTTTTAAAACTTGTTTTGTTTCCTGGATTGATTTGTTTCCTAGATTTAGTTCTACAAAAACAGCCAATTATGAACTAAATTGGTTCAGTCATTGTTGAGTTTTATATATACAAAATTTCTGATTACAGTTTATTTTTAAAAAGGGTTTGCTTTTGAATTTTGCTGAAGCTTAAAAATAAACCTTCTGAGATAAGACTACACATGAGAAAGTTCAGCCTCAAGGAAACTAATAAAATTATGAGTATCAGAAAAGGGTGAGTTAGAATGGAAGTTGCTCCTGCCTGCATCCCCATTTATAGTTGCTCCATTGATATGAACATGGCAATGTGTAAAGTTCATAAATAGTTTAGGTAAATCTATATCATCTGATGAAGCTTTATGTAAAAAAGCAGCACAGGAAAGGGAGCTGAAGCCACTGTAGTTCTCCCCTCTGTCCCGCTTTGATCCCACATAGCCAGTAATCCAAATCTCTTGGTGGTTTCTCCTCCACTTCTAGGCTTCTGCTCAGTTCACTAGCACTTTAGCAGCACCAAATTTAGCCCCTCTCCCCTCAAATCACTGAGAGGGCCACCTTCACAAACATACCTCATGTAGAGGGGTGAATGATAGTTACCTGATGCTACCTTCCCATCACAGGAACTGCTTTAGGGGCTTGTCTTCCCTGCTTAAAAAGGGTCCATTTTCAATGCCTGTGAGCTATCCCAAAAGGAAAAAAACAGTGAAGATAAGGCACTTTAGTTCTACTGTGAGATAAACTCACTGAGATCAACCTTATATACCCACCTGCAGTTGACCTGTGCAAGTTTACCTCACAGTAAAACTAAAGTGCTTTTTCTTCACTGTGGTTTTACCTCAGGATATCCCATGCGCATTAGTTACCCCACGGTAAAATGCAGCTTTTTAGGAAGTAAAGGCAAGCCTTGGCATTCTTTCTGCCCCATCCACCATCATCAGAACACCAAGCCCTTGTTGCAAAACAGGAAATGAAGGCAGAGGTGGAAAATTAATTAGGAACTAAAGTTATCCATAATTAAATTTGTTAAAAAACCAACCACGCTCAAATGGAGTTTCCTCCCAGGGACCTATATATTCATGTAGATTGTCACCAAGGACGAAAGCGGTAAGACCAGCATTGAAGTTTCACCTTGATTTTGGGGTGGTTGTGGTGGCTAGGCTTGTGATTCTTGTTAACTTATGGTTAAGTTAGTATATAACTGATTTAGGAGTGTTGCTTGTGTTATTTTTTACTCCCACAGAAGATGGGGTGACAGAAGGTCATAGGAGTACAGCAGTCAATACAAGGAGTGATATAACAAGATCTAGCTACAGGACAGAGCCCCAATTAGGGCGGATCCCCCATACCTATGACACCTGACCATATGTTGGATACTACAGATTATCTGAGAGGCAACCCTCACTGTGACAAAAGTGATACTCTAAAATAGGAATCACAGTCTGCAGTGGGAAATTCAAGTGGATCTTTGGAGCAGCTATCCCCTAATTAACTACCTGTCTAGACTGGAGTTAAATATTATCAAAAAATAGCTACAACCTTTTGCACCTTAAATCCATGCTACAACTTTAAATACAAGGTATATGAGAACAGATTCTGGAATGAAAATGAGAAGCTAATATGTTCAATGTTCACTGATTTCCTAGGTAGCATGTTAACTTTCTCGTGAAAACATTCATTAATGATTAAGACAGAAAGAGATGAGAAAAGAAGGCACTAGCTTGGCTAGGGTTTTGTTAAGCAAATGTGTTATATATCTATGCATGTAGAGTCTAAAGGGCACTGAAACTTCAATCTTCAACTGCCTTTAAAAGCAGTAGTTTAGTAGTTACAATTCAATGCCTCATATGAATAATAAATAAATAAATAAATAAAATAATAAATAAAAAGACTCAATCTTGTCAAGTGCTATTTCACCATAGATGATAATTAAGGAACACTATTGTACATTCCCTCAAATTAATGAGAGAAGATGCCAAATTAGGACACGTATTGTCATAGAGTACCTAGTGCATAGCTATCAGAGCTGATCACTTGCTGTAAGAGATACAGAGAATATTATACAAATTCTGGGATTATATTACATGTATATGCTATGGAAACAAACCCAGGAGTACAGATAAATAGCCTTACTACTTTGATAGTAGACTCAGCAAAAAGCAGTTCAAATAGCATAGAGAAAAATCAAGAAAGTTCTTCAGACAATAAGACAGGAGATCTGATTAATTATATCCCAAATCCCAACAACCCTCTGACAAATAGCTGGCCCATGTTGTGCTCAGTGTAGATTTATCAATCAGCCTTTTATAATAGCAGTACATTTATGCTGCTATTTGTAAAGCTGTGTCAGCATTTTTCATTATAATAACTCAGCTATAAAACATTGCTGTTACATGGAACTTGGCATAGAATTTTAACTGCCAATTGTAAGTATTTTTATACATTTTCAAATAAGTCAGTTTGTATATTTTAAATTACATGTGGG